AACTTCGTAAGCTACACCCAAAAAATTTTTGTTTTAAAATTTTTATTTTTTTTTTTGGAAGTGTCATGCCAAATCGGCGTTTTCATTTTTTTGCTGGTCGTTAACCTGAGAAAGCCGTAGAACCGACCGTATTGCCACGGACACGGCTTAACTGGGGATGGTTTTATGCAAATCACGCATTGAATTTTTGGCAACTAGGTCGCTTTAAGGTGTGGGTATTCGGCCTATTCGTAGAATATAGTAGTAGGGTGTAAATCTGCAATATAACTGTGTATTCCCTGCCCGAAAATTCGGGAACCCTGCTGCTTCACCCCTACGGCTAAATCTGCCTTCACCTGCTCTTCGCGACATCAGCAGACAGGAAACTCGTCGTCATCAGTGAGGAACGTGGATTTTTTTTAACCCTAGAGCAGGTGTTCCGAGAAATACGTAGTTAGTGAGGTTAAATAGGAAGCTTTGGGTTGTGGTGCCGTCACCCCCGTTGGCCGAATTTCAGACTTTTGCACCTCGAACTTCTTGACCTTCCGCTTGTTGTTAACTTGCAATGAGCATGCTCTCACTCTACTAATCAAGGCGAATTTCTTGCTAAACTTTACAGCCGAAGCATAAGGACGAGCGGTGCTGAAAGGCTGAAAAAAATTGTGCTGGGTGTCTTTTTTGCGAATTGTTCCTAGCACCATTATCGTCTGTAAACAACAAGTATCGTCTATGAAGTCGTACAGTTTCGTACTAGAGGTACACACGCGCGTAGAGAGTAAAAAAACGTATTCTTACGCGGATCTCATAGAATCCCCGACCCCTTTTGAAGCATATCACCTCCCCCTGGGTGCCCCTTGTCTCTTTGAAAACGTCTGGGCCCAAAACCCAACACCGGCAAACACTTCTTCTTTTTTCATTAGAAGGACCCGCATTTGGGGGAATCGCGGGGTGAAAAGTCATTTTGGAGAGGCCGGTTTGTTGACCCGATTCCAGGCGAATTCTTGGTGGCCCCGCGCCAATTTCGGGGGAACCAGACCACGGGACGATGATGGGATTTCCTTTTTTTTTGGATTTTCTCGACAGTTGTTTAACTATTTTATTGAAATTTAGCATGGTTTAATATGCTATTTAACATGATTTCGAGGCAAATTTTAAGACATGGGCAAACGATCTCCCTCGTTCTCAGCCTTGCACTCACGCTCGCTCTCCATATCCGTATCACTCTCACGCTCCCCCTCCCTCTCTCTCTCTCTCTCTCTCTCTCTCTCTCCCTCTCTCTCTTCTCTCGCTCTCTTTCTCTCTCTCTCTCTCTCTCTCTCTCTCTCTCTCACTCTTTAAGATAAGTAACAACTACATGCCAGCTAGCAGTGACTCTTAGGGAATTACTATCCATCGCATCCAAGAAATCTTCCGTACTCCCAATTCGTTAAATTCTTTCCGTTCCGGATTACATCTAGACTCTCCAAAATTGACCCAAACTCCATTCTTAGAAAGCTCCATCCGTCATTGGCCCCAAAAACGTCTATCACGTAGATTTGCATCCCGCACTGTACTCCACCAGACAAATCCGTTCGCTGCTCATCACCGAGGGCCATAAATCCCCCTGCCCATCCAAATCCACCTCCGCACATCCTTTTCCGCAGCAAAAAAACCCCTCGGATGCCATAAAATCGTCGTCTAGAGTGCCATGCGACATCATTTCCGGGCGATTTCCTCATCACAAGGGCCCATAATCCAGCGTCTCTCTCACAAATTCTGTGCTTAATTCGAATTCGCGAAATCTGAATTATGGGGTTCCTGAGGAGGGCGAATTGGCGTCACGCGTGTCCGGATTTTTTGGAGCTTGGATTTTTGCTATTCAGGCCATTTCTGGGGCTAACAGCGAGCGAGTCTTGAGTGTGCTATTCCCCAAAGATGCCCTTAAGACTACATTAGGATACATTTTGAATATTTGAGATACCTAAAAGCCACCTTAAAGTACCTCTAGGATACTTTGAAGCTACTTTTAAGGTACTTTTACGATGGTTTTTCAATACTTTTCACTAAGCTCTAAGATACCTTTAGATCGATTTATGGAAACTTGCTGAGGCTTAGGCTCGGATAAATGATGATCCTCGTTGATAATTAAGTCGCCATTTTTGATCCTCAATTCCGAATTCCCACTTTTGCCATCCCAGGCCATGAATTGTGGTGTGGTGTGGTGTGGACTGCGTGGTGCTGCCGGGCGGACTTGTGGATCCGCCCGAATGTGTGATATCACGCATAAATGATTGGGACGGGAGGCGTCACCTCGCTCGAATCTATGTATTCTGAATATTCCCCAGAAACGCAAAGTCATCAGCCCATTCAATGCCTGGGGGGTCATCATCCATCCGTATTATGCATCTACGTGGCCGTGGTGGCGGTCATCTTTGGTTTTGGGGTAAACAGAGTAGATGTTTTTGTGCTTGGCGTTGGATACTAGGTGTACAGATTTCTTGCGGCTTTCGGGACTCTGTCCAAAATTTTTTAAGGCACTAGGACCCCTTAAAATCAACCTTAGGCCCTTAAAATCGACCTTAGGCTTGGCTTAAATTTCGCTGAGGCTTGGCTTATTTTTTAATTTTTTTTTTTTTTTTTTGGCTTTGCTTGGGTTTTGACAAGGCTTGGCTTAAACTTCGCTTAGGCTTTGCTTTGTCTTCGCTTAGGCTTCGCTTAGGCTTGGCTGAGGCTTGGCTTACGCTAGGCTTAAACTGACGTGTTTGGATGACCTCGACGCCTATTTTTTGAAGCCATTATCTTTACATCGCTACACTAATCATAATTTGATTGAAATCACAGACTACACCGCGATTCACTATATAAATTTTGGGACTCCGTTTCATCCTCGAGTAATTTTTGTCCCCTTCCAGGATATTATTCTCGACAACAATGGACCGCCATGCCACCCCCACAAAATAGGTCTAATTGCAAAGGGTCATTTCCATGGGGTTTTGGGTTGCGAGAAAAATATTTTTGATCTTTTCCAGGCTCCAGATTTTTGTATGTATTATTTCGAATCATTAGCTTGTCGGTCTGCCTCTCTCTCTCTCTCTCTCTCTCTCTCTCTCTCTCCCTCTCTCTCTTTCGCTCACTCTCTCTCAAACATTCTGTCCCACTTTCTCCTCTCACGCTCCTCTCTCTCTCTCTCTCTGTCTCTCTCCCTCACCGGTTTTCGTCAGAAAACCCGACAATCCCTAGTGACCACTCTGATCACTCACAGTTCTGCTAGTGCTACCGTAATGATTTTTTGCGAATCTCCTCCAAAAATCGCTCCACTACGCATACCGCCCACCCACCTGCTGCTCCTCTGGCCGCCCCACCCCCAATTTTTCACCTGCAATTCGATGGGGGCCACTGAATTCAGGAGAAGCGCCCCAGCTATTCAACCCTCTAACGGGGGCGGGGGTCCGTATAAATTACGGTCTGGCCGATCGCCGTGCGATATTTGCACATTTCTAGGATTTTGGAGTGATGGTTTGACGTCAGTTGTGTTTAGCTAGGCCCTATGCTTTTTTTGAAAACGATAAGCTTACAGTTAGCAGAACGGTAAGAAGCGGAAGTTTCACAATCTTACGAATTAGCCGCGTTGCGGTTGCGTTGCGTGCCGCGGCTCCAACAACCCATAAAGAAGACCAAATAGAATGATCATAGCCGGGGCTTATCGGTACCGTTTAAGCGCTAACGGCGCTGTACTCTGACTGCGCATCCGGTCTTTAACGTTTTTACTTGTAGAGCATGAGACAAATACGATATTTCTTATTTCTTGTATCTTGTAAACTATGAATTAAGTCTCGTAAGCTTTTTTACAAATTCCCTTAAAACCCCAAGCCGCGTCCCGCTTTTGACCATTCACGAAGTTCAAACCCGCACCTCCCCGCCTACCCTTAGATTTATTAAAAACCTCCCAGAACCCGCTAGTCCAGTCCTTCCCCTCGCAAAGATCAAAATAGACCTGCCGTGAACCCATTTACAAAGAGCCACCCCGACTATAGGAATCCACGCACCTGATCGAATATTCCATTAAAATCTGGCCGACTTTTTGCCTCCACCCCCCGGGAAGGGGAAGCCGAAGCAGGAAATGCCCGAGGAATAGCCCGAAGACGCCAAAAAGGGCATCTAGCCTTGTTTTCGTGGCGGGACCCTCGGGAGTTAAAGCCGTCAAATGGCGTTCATCAATGGTTCTAGGCCTTTAATGATACTGGGTGTTGTATCGTATCTTTACGGAATTTTGTAAAATCCCTCACGTTATTCTAGGCTTTTCCACAACACCCGATTTTTGAGTGATTTGTAATGTTGTTGTAGTGCGAGACATTACTTTCGGACCCTTCACGGCTTTTTTCGGGATACTGTACCTTTCCTAACAGCTGAGTTTTGCTTTTTAATAAGATTTCCGGGCAGAAACCGTATTTTTAGGAGTCTACTCGATTAGGCTGGTAGTTCCAGAATAAAAATCTGATTCTGGAAATTTGAAACGAAGAAGAAGAGCGAGCGGGCGAGGGAGCGAAAGAAAGTGAGAGAGAGAGAAGGAGGGAAAGCGAGGAGGAGAGAGAGAGAGAGAGAAGAGCGAGAGAGAGCCGGAGAGAGAGAGAGCGAGAGAGAAAAGAGAGAGGAGAGGGGAAAAGAAGAGAGAGACAGAGAGACAGGGCCGAGGGAGAGAGGCAGGCGGAGATGGAGGAGAGGAGACAGTTGGGAGCCGTATGCGCTGCGATCGCGGTGGCGGGGTTGCGACACGTTTCGTATGGTCAATTCCTGCGCGTTGCGTGTCGCGGCACCGGCAGAACCCGCTTGACTCGATGGCCCGGAAAACCTGTAGCAAGGCATGTCTCAGGTTTTCCTTTAACCATGCCAGCTTTTCGGATTGTTTGCCTTTTTAAATTCTACCATGTCCTCCGTACACTTTCATAACGCCCTCAAAAACCTCCTCCTTTCCAGGGTGCCCCTTTTCTCGTAGCCCCCGGTGGTTCCACTCCCTTCCTCACAACTACAGAACAACTACTACAATGGCCTCGTTGGCGGGAAGTTCAGTGTGGCGCTGGGTCCTCGTGCTCCTCTATTTGGCCGCCTTCTCGGCAGCCGCCCTCCAGAATGACGACTACTGGAGGATATTGTTGCAGAGTGAGTCTTACTGTAAATTTTGTGGGCTTGCAGGGGGTTATTTGGGGAGTTTTGTGGCGCTGTATGGCTGTTAATGTTCCAAAGCTATATATAACGAAGTTTCTCACAGGCATTGGGAAAGCTATCAGAGATTCGTAAGGCAACTGGGGTTTTAGGTCGTAATTGGTTGCAGCGCGTCTTACTGTGATTTTGAAGAGATTTATGACAGGGCTTTAGGATACATTTCAGTACGCGCAGGATTCCTTGAAAGTTAGGGATAACTTTTTAGTTCACATTCTGCAGGCAGTTAGCAAAGATTTTTTTGGGAATTCTGAGGTACTTTGGTAGCTGTTTTGTAATTTTGAGCACAAGTCGAACGCTGCATAGTGAGCCGTACTGTGTTATCCGGGTTGAAATGGGCAGGTTAGCAGCGGTTTTTGAGGAGTTTTAATTGCTACGAAAAGCCGGCGGCGTCCTCGGTGCGTTCACCTTAGTCGAAAAATGCGGAGAAACGTGTATAAAAACACTGCCAGGTTCGGCTTTACCCGCAGGGAAGCTCACCAACCCCCTTTCGCACCCACCTACACCCCATCAACATTCAAATTTATACCGCCGACCCCCAACTTCCTCGACGCTCGCCCCCCGGCCCCTATTTTCGGTACTTTGTCTATTTTTAATAGTAGAGCCGCCGGATAATGTGTTGCCTCCCAGAAACGAGCCCAATAATAGACGCCCGACGGGCTGAATGGAGGCTGTAAATAGGCGGGGCTCGTAGTTGCCGGTGTTCCGATTGACGTGGTCGGTGGAGGGCGTCATTCGGAACCGGGTGGAGGGCTTACGTAATCAAGTAGATTAAATTTGGACTCGGAATTGTCAAAAAGGTGTGATAAAACATCAGCAAAAATTGTATGCATTTCCATTTTGCGACAAAACTTTGGTACTTTGACCTGGAACCCGGGAAGCAACCGACCCAAGATGCACAGCTTTCAAAAAATGCAAAATATTCAAAAGTTTAACATGTAAATTAGCACCTGCCCGTTCGTTTGGAGCAACTCTGACTTGAGTTTGACTTTTGGACCCTAGTCCGGAAGTAGAGCAAAAAAACTGATCACTAAAGGATGTGGAACCGTATTTCCAAAGCAAAAATAGCTTTTCTTGGGAAATGTTGTTATGCCAAAGTATACGCGTTTTCGGCAGGTTTCCACAATTAGCATGCCGCCGTTTTTGCCTAATTTGCCGAAAAGTCATCATTTTCGGGCCAGTTTCCGACGGTTTTGCTGATCAAAAATTGATGAAAAGTATCGATCTGAATTGCATTTTCTTAAATTCAAAAATTTCCGAAATCGGTAATAGTGAGGTCTTGTTTCGAAACATTTCGAGCGCGAAATCCGCCAAAATCCCAATGAAATCGGCAAAGTGCCAGGATCAGGATCCATACCATAAAACGAAAATGATATATACCGAGAAAATAAAAATATATATCAAACCAAGCCCCATTGCACGCCGAGCGCGAGCTGGAATCCCGGGAATCCGCCGGCCGTCCGCGCACGCCGAACCCTGATGCATCGGGCGTCACGCAGCGACATGCCGATGCGAACCATCCAGAACCCGTCCGATCTGCCAATGTTCCGATTTGGCTAACGGCGGCACCACGGCTACACCGGGAAATGATACCTACAAAACGTGCCCCGCGGGGCTAGTGTGGCAAAAATGTGGTCCAGCCCAAACTATAGTAAAAATGATATATTATCCCGGCCATTTGTTTGATTTCTCGAATTTGAGCAATTTTGGCCCCTTCACGCCCCCCTAATTCTTACCGACATTTATAAAAACGCTGCTTTCTACAGGCGAGCACAAAACTGGTTTCCGTCCACCCTTTTTTCATTGAAAAATTATTGATCACGAACTAGTCGAATCCGGTCGTTCCAGCGCATCTCATCCTCCCCGATTGCCCCCCGTATGATTGTGACCCTTTCCCTATTACTTGGCCATTTCCATTCTTCTCGCCAACTACGACCTTGTGTGGGAGAATAAAAGATTCCAATGTTTTTATCAACACCTTGTTTGCACCCCGAAGGGCATCAATACTTTTTTAAAGTTTTTTATGGCCTTTCCAGGACTCCTACCAAAATTGGTCACGGTATTTAGTGTGGGTTTTTTTTTATTTGCAAGCACAGCCAATGTTGAATCTTAGCTCAAAAATCTTGTGTTCCCTCTATGCTTGTTAATTGGGGAATATGTATCTGGAGAACGTCCTAGAGGTCAAAAATTTTTAAAAAGTTATTGTAGACCTTCGGGGGTGCAAAAAATAAGTTTTCGGCCAACAAAAGCAAAAGTGAGCAGGAACCGTACCCTCGTTGCTATCTCCAAACGCCGACTACTAAGCCACTGGGCTCACCAGGAGACGACGGTCGGGGCGTGGGGAGGGCCTATGAAGGTATCGCCAAATCGCAACTTTAAAATAAGGTATCAGCAGCTAAAAAGTCTACAAGAGGCACACACTCACATATTTGGGTCTGATGTCCGCCCGAAAGCATTCTCTAGTAGCCCGGAGCGTCTCGTAGCCCGCCCACAAGCAATTTCGGAATACCCCCCCAACTGCATTGGCACAGAAAATTTTACAAATTTAGATTTACAAATTTTCAAAGTAGAAGAAAAGTGCAGGACTCGCCTCTTCGAGAGTTTTCGATAGATACCTGAATCGTAAAAATCAGACGTGGTTTTTTGGAATACCCTATATATCTGCATGCTCGCCTAGAATAATGATATCAGCGCGATTCAGCATGCAGTTTACAAGAAGAATGGTGGCTAGGGCGAAAAAAAACACGTTTTGCCGTGGGTTTACACCCGAGAGGGCAGTACTCCTCATAGCTGGTTTCGTACGCTCAACACCTACCACATCTGGCACCATGTTTGTGGTCGCAGGCGTAAGTTTTTTTAGTGCGTGTGGCCCAGATGGGTAGGGTAGGTAAGGATTATAAAAATGTATGCTTGCGCCGAAGAAAACTTGTTCTACCGCAAATCCTGAAGAACCGAGACAGTGCCTTGGGGTCCCATAACTAAGGTTCTGATTTTGCCAGTCGGATTCGTTTGTTGCCCACCTCGATGAGTCCGCCCCGCCAAACTCTTCTCGGTGATCAGGCCGTGGCTTGCCCCGTTGCTGGAGAAAGTGAGCTCAAGAAATTATTGAAGACTCCCAGATTTCAGTCTGCCGCCTACCGGAAAAGCAGGAACGTGAGCACTTCCCGAAACGATGGAGGATGTGCGTGGTAAGAACACTTGGAGTGCCAACATCTGTTGCGGTTTTCAGACGCCTGCCAGCGTCGCCAATGCAAGGCTGAAAGCAACCGTGCTGGCTTGAAGAAGCGTTTGGCCAACGGCCGCAGACCCCTCCCGTGGCGGGGATTCGGAAGTTAGGTCAGCGAGCTCCGGATGCTGCTTGCGGGTTTTGAAGTGAATCAGTTTGTGGCCCAAGTATCGCTGAGAGCCCCGGTGAGCAGTGAGACCCGCAAATTTCAAAATGCCTAAAATGATAATGTCGAAGTTCCCAATGTCGAAATTCAAATAATACGTCCCGCTAAACCGCCAAATCCAAAGCAAAAATGTCGACATTATGAAATTTCGACATTTTGAGTTTTCCGAGACAGGGAGGGAGGGAGGGAAGACAAAATAGGTAGAGTGCGAGATAGAGATGGGAGATAGCGAGACAGAGGCGCAGAGATAGGCGGCCAGAGAGATAGGCAAAGAGAGCCCCCGAGAGCGAGACAGGTGGGAGAGAGAGATAAAGAGTGAAATGTTTGGTAAGCTGCGCCTCCGTGTTGTGGTGGTCCATTTTAGCGGGCTGGAAGCGTCTTGTTTTTCTCAGGAAATAGATGGGTGTTGGTTCAGCCAGGTTTCGACCTGGTACTTACAGCGGTATTGAGTCATTAGCAGAGCAAAAATTAGTTCCCACTGTTAATATCCGCTCCGGTCCAACGACCCCGAAGGCTGTTTTTTCCCCGCCAGACTCTTGTATCTCTCGCCGCCGTAGGAAGTCTTGTATTGCCCACTGGCATCGAATGGATAAAGGATAAGCTCAGTTGGTCCAATAAAACCGGTGTTAGAAAGGCTTGAGCCGGATTCAAGAAGCGGGTTTAGGAAGTGTTCAATTGGACTTCCAGACCAGATGCTCATCGCCACTGCAAATACCGAGCTACATCTTCGAGAACCGCTGCCGTGCTGGCAACGACGGAATGCCAGTTGCTGACGCAGGGTAAACGTCTTTCCAGAGAATGGGAAGGTCATGGGGAGGGCGGGGGTGATGACCGGCAACCACTCAACCAACCAATAACTCAACCTGGGGTACAAATTTTGAGTGAGAAAGTATTTCTTGGCGTTTTTATTACCCTTGAACCCAAAAAGTTGTCACGTTTATTACTGTATTTTCTAATAATAATAAATAATAATGATACTAATCATAAAATAGTTATAGTTAAATTTTACTAAAACACTGTTAAAATAAATACTCCTACTGGCTAAGCATTTGTCGACGCATAGGAAAACATTTGATGAAAGAAAAATATCGTAACCTTTTATTGCGCTCCACAAAAAAGTTACGCCACGACTTATTAAAGCTGACTTCATTCAGGGAGGTGGCAGAGGCGTTGCAGCGCGGATGGGCGGCGGACAGCGAGCAGCCGGCCAAAACCCTGGAGGAGGTTCGTACGCTAGGTTTTTAAACGTGAATTGAGAAAAAATGGTTTGGAAGGAGCTGAAGCCATCAAGTTAAGCCCTTGGAAAAAGGTTCATATTTAACTTAACTGTTCCTAAAACTTATCATATTTTCGCTTTTTTTCTTCAAGGTTTTTTAGCACGCCAATCGATAGAGCGTCGCAAAACATATTATAGGGAAAATATCCCACGTAAGCACCGCTAGAAATATTGTGCGATCAAAAGTTATAACAAAAACAAGAATAACCTTAAAAAGGGGGTCAAAAAGCTAGTTTTTAAAATTTTTTTAACGCAATTTTTCGACATTTTTGACGCGCTATTCGACGAGCCTAGTAAAATCTGTTCAAAGTCTGAATGGCCATCCAAAATCATGTAATTTAAAAATAGTTACAACAAAGACAAGATTTAGACGAGGTTTCGCCAAAGGAACGTAGGGTGCTATGATAGTTTTCTACATGTTCGATATTTTTACAAAATGGGGGCATAAGGGCAACCCTTGCCCTTTTTTCGACCCGTAAAAGTAAGATTGAGACTTAGGTGATAGTTGCCTGCTAATACATCGTAAAACTCGGGTAAGGCGGTGGTTGAGCCAGGGGCCGGGGGGTTGCGCAAGGAAGAGTGGTACAACTTCGGCGCTCACGAATTGCTTCTCGGAAACTCATTTTGGAGGTGTGCGACGAGTTCATGCCCACGATCGACGACGCCATCGATGCGGTGGTGGCAATTTGGCCGAGCTCAGGGACTACAAGCAGAAGGTAACAAGAATATCCCCCGCGGTTCTTTATGTGATATTGAAGTTTTTGAACGAACCTGGCCATTAGTTCGAAAAGCAAAAAAAGCTGGGCAAGGTGTCGTTTTGAGATTATTATGTGGCAGAAACCCACCCAAAAATGATCATTTTTCGCAAAAGACTCAAAAATCGGCAGACTAACTGCGAAAACATACCCAAAAATGAGTACCAGCGGGCCGCCAAAATCAGTTATTTAGCGATAACTTTTTTGTTTTACATATTTTGCCTAGAAAATTCGGCTGCACATAGTTTTTACATTTGTACTGAAAATTGTGGTGAGCGCGGCCATGTCGACGTCCAGATGGCATGGACTTGTTTTGCTGTGCCAATTTATATTTCCAGGTCAAAAACTCCGTGAACATCGACGCTCAATTTGGGAAGCTTATGACGACGAGGAAGCTGATGTGACCTTTAATTCTATTTTGCGTCAATCGTTATTTGCCGGGAGGGGTGGGGGGTGCGGCGAAAATAAATGGAGATTAAATGATTTCAAATTTAAAATTTTTCTTAAACATCGAAAGGCTGTAAGGCTTCTACCTGCCTCTAATTTTCGTAGATGAAATGCTGTGACTTGGCCACTGATGGCCAAATAAATTGGGGCTCTATGTCTGGCGAGGCGCGCGGTTCGCAAAACTTCAGAGCATCTGAAATTGTTTCGAAGAAGGGGGCTTCAGACCACTCGCAGATCTCTTACAACTGGACCACAAAGGATATCTATAATGCGTTATCCGCTCCCCGGAAAAAAGCCGACTTCTCACCGCTCTTGGTCTTAAGCTAATGTAAGATTCGCAAACCGAGCGTCCCAAAAACACCACCCTCCCACACCAGCTGAAGACGTGTCCGATCCCGACCATTTGGGTATCGGGAAAGCTCTCGGAAACACGCAAGCCCCAGCACGTTCACGCGCATATTTTAAAAAAGTTTCGACATTTGAAGGTACACTAAAGTCTCGTTGGTTTGGTTACCGGCCGGTAACCGTCCGCGGGGATAGCAAACAGGGTTACGGCAGGAGCTCGCCGCGGAGCAAAACTGAACCCGGGACGCTCACCTGGGCCAAGCGCCACAGACCAATAGGCCAGTGGGAGAGACGGGAGAAGGCAGGCGAGAGGGGCAATGAAGGGGCCAGGGCGAGACGCGGCAGAGAGTACCAGAATTCCCGACCCCGGCGAGGCGCAAATGTTTGAACGAGATTTTAGTGTACCTTTACTAATGCTTGCGAAACGGGCGGATTTTCGCTTTCTCTGTCTTTGTCCAAAATCACAATTTAAACCACCGTACGCCTTTCCTGGCGGTTCAACGAGCGCATTTGAAAGCCGTTTGCAAAAACACAGCTTGGATGCGCTTCAAAGCGCACGTTCAGGGACGAGATGGCGGCGAACAGCATACTTCCTATTGACGCCGAGGGACTGGGGAAAAGAGGGAGACGCAGGTGTCAATAGGAAGCGCGCTATTCAACGCGCCTGAACGTGCGCTTTTAACCCCATGCATCCGGAGGTTGGGCCGTGCGCTCGCATCCTCCTTTGCATCAAAAATGCCGAAAAGTCGTCGAAAATTCCGCCATTGCCAATGGATTGACGCGCTTGACTTCCTATTGCAAGAGCTGGGGATAGGATACCAAAGTCGTATGAACCGGACACCATACTGCGGGCACGCTAGAGGGGCGGGGGGTGATTTTTGGAGCACTCCTGTATCTTAGGCCAACGGAGAAAATACACTACGTACGAGAAGAAAATTCAAGACGAAGGTGATCTTTTAACCTTTTTTTGTCATACCTCCGTTTGTTTCAGTTTGAATACAAGCCGGAGCTTAAGCTCGCGAAGGTAACGAAATCATTAGCCATGTAGTCAAACTGCGGCTTTTCAGGACGGATTGGCCTCAATATTTTCACCCTGGCCGCTATCAGCCGGTGGGTATCTGTAAAATTCCGTCGCGACTGAAGCCGCCGCCCAGAAACACTCGCAACACAGGGGAATGCCCCAAGCACCGCCCCTACTCGCAATTTGACCGCCTTACACCCGATCGGGTTAGAATATAGGCCAAAGGAGACTCATCCTACATATATATCCTACTATATATAAAAATAGTGTTTTTGTGTGTGTCTGTGCCACTTTGCATGCAACTTCCGTCATTCTGTACAGAGGATAACTCAAGAAGGGAACGTCGTAGCCTAAATATGATACGTCAATAGGTGCGTAATGGCTCTGGGATAACTGCTCAAATATCAAATGTTGCAAATTATGCTATTTTCGACATTAAAATTAAGTTTTTGTTGAAAATTCGGCCGCTCTCTTTGTTAGGAAAAATTAGCATACTCCGGAAGTGGCGGTAGCCTATATATATTGCGAGAGAGGGGTGTTTTCATTTTTCACTGCAGAGAATTTGAGAGACGTATGCAGAGTTTAGAATATTATGGGTTGGACGGGGCCAGGGTTGAAAAGTCACTTAAAGCGGAAATACCCATCTTTTCTCAAGGCTAAGGTATCAAGTTATTTTTAAGGCTTTAAAAATGGTGCCTTGGCAATATCGGGGAAGTGTGAATTGCTCTGCCTGATTCGGTTTTTAATAGTGTTTTGGTGAAATTTAGCTGTATTGGCTAGCAAATTTTTTAAAGCGTAGAAAAATGCTTGAAAGTTGATATTTGGTTGAAAATATTCATTTGCAAGTTTTTTCATACAAATTGCGTTTTTAAGTTTTTCCGAATTTTGACCGGAAATGTCCCGAAACCTGAGAGAGAGCATTTTTTCCACCATTGAAATTGTTTGATTCACATAAACAAGGCTTAAACCGGAGCTGCTAATCACTTTTTCACCACCAAAATCGGCATGCTGTTTCAGGCGAAGCCTCTTCGGATGACCAAGGCGTCGTCGATACCGCGGTCCGCCCTCCCGACCCGCCGACGGCCCCGGTGAATTAAGAATAATGCATTGAATGAACTATTTCAGAACCCGAGCACCGGTACCCACATCAACAAATCGTCGAGTGATCCATCGGGCGGACTTGACGACGATGTGCACAACAACGAGAAGGCGCAGCAAATTCCTCCCAAATTGGCGGCCCCGGTAAATTAAGAATACAATGCATTGAATGAACTATTTCAGAACCCAAGCACCGGTACCCACATCAACAAATCGTCGAGTGATCCATCGGGCGGACTTGACGACGATGTGCATAACAACGAGAAGGCGCAGCAAATTCCTCCCAAATTGGCGGCCCCGGTAAATTAAGAATACAATGCATTGAATGAACTATTTCAGAACCCAAGCACCGGTACCATACATCAACAAATCGTCGAGTGATCCATCGGGCGGACTTGACGACGATGTGCACAACAACGAGAAGGCGCTGCACGAGCCTCCCAAATTGACGTTAGCCCCGGTAATTAAAGACAATGCATTGAATGAACTATTTCAGAACCCGAGCACCGGTACCCACATCAACAAATCGTCGAGTGATCCATCGGGCGGACTTGACGACGATGTGCACAACAACGAGAAGGCGCTGCAGAGCCCCCAACCTGACGGCCCTCGGTAAATTAAGAATACAATGCGTTGAATGAACTATTTCAGAACCCGAGCACCGGTACCCCATCAACAAATCGTCCGAGTGATCCATCGGGCGGACTTGACGACGTGTGCACAACAACGAAGGCGCTGCGCGGGCCTCCCAAATTGACAGCCTCGGTAAATTAAGAATACAATGCGTTGAATGAACTATTTCAGGAACCCGAGCACCGGTACCCACATCAACAAATCGTCGAGTGATCCATCGGGCGGACTTGACGACGATGTGCACAACAACGAGAAGGCGCAGCAAGGGCCCCCTGAGGAGAATGAGCCCAGAATTCGACCGCCCAGGCAAGGAAACTTTACTTCGAATCCACTTCACAAGTAAATTAAAATTGTTACATTGGAGGAAGAAAGTGCTGTTTTCTCGCCTTGCCGAGAACTTCGATAGATACCTAAACCGTCAAAATAGAACGCTTTGAGCTTTTTTGAGGACTCACTGCCCCCACAATTTGGGGCCGGCTGCAGCCTGCCTGGTAGAAATGCCATTTTCAGGTCTCCTCGCTGTCCCTGACTACGGCCACCGCCTGCAGCCCCGCTAATACCGCTCTCGAAATTGAGGACAGTATGGACATGCTGCAAGACCCTCTGCTCGTGGGTTTAAGAGACCTACCGAAAATGTAGTCTGGTGATAACCCGCACGGGCCAAATAATGCAGCGCCTTTTAAAAATTCCTTTGGACGGCCCTCAAGTCCGCGTCGCGATGATAATCATATCCGGAGGCGGGGGAGGCTTTCTGGCCCACCTACACAGACCTCACAGTCATTTTCCCTGCGATGGAAGTGCGGAATAACCTCCAAATCGTATCAATTCCGTCGCTCCCGGGTTGCGCTTAGCAGAGATGTCCATTCGATGCATTAAAGATACACACATTGTGGAAGATTTTTCGGTATTTAGTCTTTTCAGGTCCAGGGCGCCGCCGCCCGCTGATCGTTTAAACATCACGCTCTCGAAATTAACCTGTGATATGCTTTTCGCGTCGCCTTACCGTCTCCAGATCATTCGGATATTTTTTTTAATAAATATGCATTCCGAAGGGCTTTTACGCCCTGATTCATAACTTGAAAATATGACAGCACCCAAAAAGAGACGACAGGGCAAAAGCAAGATCGTGAAATTTCGATCGAGTACTTACCTTGTGTTGAGCATGGTAGGAAAGCTGGTTTTTGACTAGTCTTGGCTTGGGCATTTGGGAGATGGTGATTCTAGTGTGGGAAGCCTTCCTGTGCCGACTACACACGCGCGTACAACTGGCAGGAATGAGGAAATTTATTTTTTGGGATTATGCAAATTAGCCCTCTCAGAACTGGAAAATGACAACCCTGGCTTTAGCTTTGGAAAATTGTAGCCTGGGAATTCCATCGGAAGGAGCAAGGTCGCTTACCCCCTAATATCGGAGAATCAGGGCGTTTATACAAGGGTAGGCCCTCAAATTGAGATTCGAAGGTGACAGCCGGCGACCCCCCAGATCCACACGCAGAGGGACCAGCCAAGATTATGATCGAGTAATTAGTGTCTCAATCCAGTGCAACGTTGTGCTTCATTAGTGCTTGTTTTCGCCTTCTCCCTTCCCGGGAGCGTTCAATACTACCTAAATCGTCCAAATCCGACACTTCCTCGGCCCACGGGATTCTGGTCGATTATCCCAAAAATCCCCCCTACCTAGCGGGCCGGAGAGGTGTCCGATTTTTATGATTTTGATATCTATCGAGAGCTCTCGGAAAGGCGAGTTCAGCACGCCTCTCGAAATTTTAAAATTCGAAATTTTTGCCCAATTTTTGGTAGTTTTTTAGGCAACAAGGAGACGCTTTTTTAGCAAAACCCCAATTTAACCGGTTTAAGCGCCATCCGAGCTGTGTTTTTTCAAATGGTTTTCAAAAGCTGTCTTTGCGGTTCCGGAAAAATCGTTAAAATTCATTAACTGTGATTTTGTAAAAACCATTTTATCCGAAAAGCGTCAGAAATGCAGCCCTTTTCGCAAAAATATTAGTCAAAGTAAGAAAAAAATCCGGAATTTCAAAACTTCGAAAAACGTGCTGGACTCGCCTTGTCGAGAGCTTTCGATAGATACCAAAATCGCAGAAATGGACACGTCTCCGGCCCTCAGGTCGGGGATTTTTTTGGGACACCCTGTACTTAGAACATTTGATCCCTAGTAAAATTTTGGCTTCCCCACCGATAAGCCCCCCACTCGTCGTATATTGCGAACGCACTACGACCAGGCCCGTACGGGAGCCGCGATTTCGGGGGGGCACCCGCCAAAAAATTTTTGGGGACCCCCCGCCCCCGGTCGTGGCTTTCAAAATATTCGGAAAATAGCGACAATAACAGCGCCGTAGGCAAAAAAAATTGAGAAAACCGCGTTCGCAACGCTTAAATTCGTGTGGAAACACATCGCGCTAAAGCGAAATTTTTGTTTAGCAAAAATGATGCACTCATGAAAACGAGCGCCGCAGGCAAAAAAAACATTAGAAAAATAGGTTTTCCAGAAGTAAAAATCGTTTCGAAACAGTGATAAACAGCGCCGCAGGCAGAACAATTTTTGCGAAAAGAAACGCAAGGCCTTATGAACTTTCGGACCCCGACCGATTTCGGGGGGCACCGTGCCTCGTACGGGGCCTGACTAACGAGTAATTTACCTTTCTATGGAATCGATCCGGCTGTTGTCGCAGACATTGCAATTATTTGGCGAGATTCGAATACTCTGGCAAGATAGTGGTCATACGATAAATACGAGGGCTGGCTGTGTGAAAGTTTGTGTTATTGCTTGCTCGCGTTAGATGACGGCGCTTATTTTTACGCTTTTTTTTAAGAAATCATAAAAAATGGAGCGCAAGTTAAATACTTTTGTAAAATGAGGGAGCTTTTTCTCGCTGTTTTGAGGGCCTTCGAATAGTTAAAATGAACCAATCAAAAATCAGCGCGCGAGGGCCGTCGGTTTTGTCGAACCCCCGTAAATCAAGAAAATTTCTCTAAGCTGTGACATTCTTAAACGTAAAAGTTTACAGATTTTTGTCAAACGTCCAAAAAATATGATGTAAAGCTTTCCTGGAGCCACTAGGGCGAACTTATACCGGCCCACGCTATGCATGCGCAATTGTATGGCTTGATGTTAAACTTAAACCCGTTAAATTTCCCGTTAATTCCCGCTAAACCTAAGCTACGGGGTTTTTTTGTCAAGGACGTTTATTTTAGGGAGAGGTCGAGGCACCGACACCTCAGCAGTTCCACGCCGGGGGCGGGCCGGCCGCCCAAGAAAACGTACAGTAGTTTCTGATGTCTTAAAATCAGTGCAAAAGTGGACGAGAAGGCGATGGAACCCTCGCACCCCAAAAGCTATGTATCTGTTTCAGGCAGGGGCCCGAAGCGGCGCGTTCGCGAGGTTTGTGGTTCCTGAATTTCTTGTCGACCGCCGTCCGCGAGCATCAAACAAGGCAATGGTGATCGGATGTTTTCAGTACGCTGTGTGCGAGTGCGGCCGGGAGGGCTACCTGGACGCGGACTACGGGCCGATGGTGTGCCAAGCATGCAAGAAAGAGTTCATGTTGGTTCAAAGTCCCATCGTTCGATTCGAGCCTTCACCTGTGTTGACTTGGAAAAGTTTGGTTGATGCGATGGCTTGGGATCCTTCACATTTGGGAACCGGTATACAGGGTGTCCCAAAACAAACGTCCCCTCGGCATTACCTCCGATAGCTCCCCAAATTGTACAAGGGGGTGTATCAGACCCAAAACAACAATCATCCTCACTTAGGGTTCTTGTTTTTTTATAAGTAAAGTAGCTCTTGGACAATAGCAAAAAACCAAAACCCGCTTCGCGGGACGTATTGTTAGGCGCTGGAATGCGGCTTTTGCATGGGGAATTTGATCTGCCTAGCATTAGCGCAATGCCTCCCAGCAATAACATTAGCAAAAGCTACCAACGGCGAGAGCGCCAAAACTGAAATGAGTCTCCCCAACCCCTCGTATGCAAATGAGCAAATTCCGTAGGTTTTTGAAAGCAATAAGACAAGGCAAAAATCATCATGTTTAAAAATCTGATAAGTGGGCAGTATTCTACGTCCTCGACTACCCCTCAACACTTTCGACCGGGTCCTAAAGTTCTTCACCCTTCCTGATATTCCTGATAGCTTTGTAACCGTTTTTTAGCTGTTTATGCAAAGTTTCCACAGGCACACACAGATGTGTTGAGCCAGAGGGCACCTACGGAGCTGAAAAGTTGCACAGCGGTAGCGTTTATGGAATGTTTCAGCCCGATCGTCCGGCGGTTTTTAAAGTTATAGCGAAAATACTTTTCATTTTTAATTTAACATCGGGATCTATGCAATTTGCTTAAAAAATATGCGTTATTCTTGCATTTACGAGCCGATTTTGCATAATTTTTGCCAAAACGCCATTTTCTTGCTGGGGGCTTTTGGAAAACGATTGCTCATGCAACGTGAACATGAGCAGCAAGGCCGCTGAGGACAAGATGCCTTGGCTGAAACTATCGTTCAGCGCTTGAACTTCGCTTAGACTTCGGCTTACTCTTCAACCTGAGCCCAAATCTAAACTGAAGCACCACTTAGAAGCTTGTCGTACTCAGTTTCGGGGCTTGCACGAAGCAGGTCACCAAAATGCACAATAAGGCGTGTTTTAGATTGATAAAACAGTTGTTTTTACACTCTTTTGCTCTTCATACGCGTCGTTCTCACCAAGGTCCAATACGAAAATGGCATTTTTAAGCAAACTTTTATGCAAAAATCGGCTCGTAAATGCAAGAATAACGCATATTTTTGATGCAAATTGCAATGATCCCCCATATTAATTAAAAAGAAAAGTATTTTCGCTATAACTTTAAAACCCGCCGGAGGATCGGGCTGAAACCAACCTTAAACATGGGAAATTAGCTTCGCTACCCCTGTGCAAATTTTCAGCTCCGTAGGTGCCCTCTGGCTCAATTTTTTTGGGGGCTTTGGGACACCTGTATATCTTCTTTAATTACATTTTTTGCATTACAAAAATCGATTTCTAGCCCGCTTATGTTTCAGCCTACAGTTTGACCGTTTGCTACTCGGTCGCCTCAAAACCCGGACATTTTTAGATTTTCTATAATGCCACCTCTCAATGTACCGTTTATCATAATAACGTTTTTTTCTGAATAACGCTTTCACAGGCTCCCGCTTTTAAATGCCGTTCGGAACACAGCTCTATGAAATTCTGTAAAATTGTGTTTAAAACTCGCGTGTAGTTAAAAATAGAACTATGAAGGTAATATAATTAAAACTCGACTCGCACCACGATCCGGAGATTCTCCTTCGAGTTAACGGCGATGTTTCCCAAAGATATCTTTTGCCCGATATTATGCCGATTCCAGCGACGCGCTGAACAACCTCCAAAAAGACCAAGAAACAGGCGAACGCGTCGTTTGCCTCCTCAATTGTGGGCCCGACGGTTGGTGTTGCATAAGTATATGGTTAAAATCATTTTGCTTAGATGCCTGCAGCTTCCATCGAGTCTTGCGTTGCGAAGCTCGCGGATTTCGCGAGGACCTGATCAAGCGCCGAAAGTAACTCGCCTTTAAAACAACGATTCTTTGTGTTGTCTACTGCACAAATCACTCTCTATATCTCAAAACGGACCATATTAACGGGACTGAGCCGCTTCGTCAATAGCTGCTTCTACAGGTTCTCCCACTAAAAAAAACGCTTTTTTTACTCGACGAGAAGAATCGGATTAGAACGATAGTTATAGCATTCGAAAAGCCATCCATGCATTCATGCATCAATTTTCAAACCGAGTTTTTATCTCGCACGGCATTTTATATTAACCACCAGGGTTGAAAAACCGCTTTGCGGCTTTTCAACCCTGGTCCCGTCTGAAAGTAGCGACTTTGCATAATTCTTTCCGAAGAACGATCACCAAAAATAAAAACCACGCCCTCCCTTCCTTTTTATAAGCCATTTCCACTTCCGGCGTATGCTAATTTTCCCCAACAAAGAGGGAGACCAAGATTTTACAAAAACCTAATTTTAATAGCCAAACTAACCTTTTTTCGAAGATTTTATGTGTGTGCAGTCGATTCCGGGCCCTTCTTTTACCTAATGACGTTTCTTCCCGCCCCAAAAAAATGCTTCCCTGAGGCTGTAGGTGCGGAACATCCAAACGGACTGCCCGATTTCTCGAAATCGATCAGCTAGTGGAGAATTTGATTTTTCCCTAGAGAGGGTCGATAGTAGTTGCTTTTCCACATGAAGACTGGCCTTGAGAAGGCTTGTTAGATTCCGAGACGTTCCGATGGACCTATTTCGCTACGTCCATACGTAAGGTAACGTATCATGTAGCCGATTTCTCGAAATCGATCAGCTAGTGGAGAATTTGATTTTTTCCTAGAAAGAGGGTCGATAGTAGTTGCTTTTGCACCTGAAGACTGGCCTTGAGAAGGCTTGTTAGGTTCCGGAGACGTTCCGATGGACCTATTTCGCTATGTCCATACGTAAGGTAAAGTATCATGTAGCCGATTTCTCGAAATCGATCAGCTAGTGGAGAATTTGATTTTTTTCCTAGAAAGAGGGTCGATAGTAGTTGTTTTTGCACCTGAAGACTGGCCTTGAGAAGGTTTGTTATCAGGTTGGAACGAAAGTAATGGCACAAAATCTTTAAACCGCTGTAAAAACCCGCAGGAACGTCCGATTCGAAAGTTTGTTATATGGTTTAGTAGATCTTTGGATGCCTATCACGAGACAACCTTCAAAACACCCAAAAACTAATGTATGCGAAAATAAAGGCCCCAGAAGTTTCGCAGAAAATTCGGTGAAAGCTTCCAAGCGAGATATCTTTGCATACAAGCATTTGCATACGATACTTTTAACACCAATCGATAGCTCTCGAGGAGTAGATATCGATAAATGTTGAGATCATCAAAATCGGACATTGGATGGCGGAGATATGCCCCCAGAAATTTGGTCCACTTCTTAGAACTTTTCTCGAAATCCCATACATTTAGGCCTGCGCGAGCCAAAACTGCTGCGTTTGCTTTGGCTCACGAACCAATATCCGGAAAATGCATTGTATTTGGAAGGCCCATATCTCGGCCATCCAATGTCCGATTTTGATGATCTCAACATCTATCGATATCTACTCCTCAAGAGCTATCGATTGGTGTTAAAAGTATCGTATGCAAATGCCTGTATGCAGATATCTCGCGAGGAAGCTTTCACCTAGTTTTAACGAAACTCTGAGGCCTGTATCTTCGCGTCCGTCCGTTTTTTTGCGTTTTGAGGGTCGCCACGTGATAGAGCATCCGAAGATCTACCAAACCATATATCAAACTTTCAAATCCGGACGTTCCTCGGCTTTTACAGCGGTTTAAAGATTTTGTGCCATTACTTTCTTTCCAACCTGATAGATTCCGAGACGTTCGATGGACCTATTTCGCTATGTCCATTCGTAAGGTAAAGTATCATGTAGCCGATTTCTCGAAATCAATCAGCTAGTGGAGAATTTGATTTTTCCTAGAAAGAGGGTCGATAGTAGTTGCTTTTGCACCTGAAGACTGGCCTTGAGAAGGCTTGTTAGGTTCCGAGACGTTCCGATGGACCTATTTCGCTACGTCCATACGTAAGGTAACGTATCATGTAGCCGATTTCTCGAAATCGATCAGCTAGTGGAGAATTTGATTTTTCCTAGAAAGAGGGTCGATAGTAGTTGCTTTTCCACCTGAAGACTGGCCTTGAGAAGGTTTGTTAGATTCCGAGACGTTCCGATGGACCTATTTCGCTATGTCCATACGTAAGGTAACGTATCATGTAGCCGATTTCTCGGAAATCGATCAGCTAGTGGAGAATTTGATTTTTTCCTAGAGAGAGGGTCGATAGTAGTTGCCTTTCCACATGAAGACTGGCCTTGAGAAGGCTTGTTAGATTCCGAGACGTTCCGATGGACCTATCTCGCAATGCGTCCATACGTATCGTAACGTATCATGTAGCCGATCTCTCGAAATCGATCACTAGTGGAGAATTTGATTTTTTCCTAGAAAGAGGGTCGATAGTAGTTGCTTTTGCACATGAAGACTGGCCTTGAGAAGGCTTGTTAGATTCCGAGACGTTCCGATGGACCTATTTCGCAGTACGTCCATACGTAAGGTAACGCATCATGTAGCGGATTTCTCGAAATCAATCAGCTAGTGGAGAATTTGATTTTTTCCTAGAAAGAGGGTCGATGGTAGTTGCATTTACACATGAAGACTGGCCTTGAGAAGGCTTGTTAGATTCCGAGACGTTCCGATGGACCTATTTCGCAGTACGTCCATACGTAAGGTAACGATCATGTAGCCGATTTCTCGAAATCGATCAGCTAGTGGAGAATTTGATTTTTTCCTAGAAAGAGGGTCGATAGTAGTTGCTTTTGCACCTGAAGATTGGCCTTGAGAAGGCTTGTTAGGTTCCGAGACGTTCCGATGGACCTATTTCGCTACGTCCATACGTAAGGTAACGTATCATGTAGCCGATTTTTCGGAAATCGATCAGCTAGTGGAGAATTTGATTTTTTCCTAGAAAGAGGGTCGATAGTAGTTGCTTTTCCACCTGAAGACTGGCCTTGAGAAGGTTTGTTAGATTCCGAGACGTTCCGATGGACCTATTTCGCTATGTCCATACGTAAGGTAACGTATCATGTAGCCGATTTCTCGAAATCGATCAGCTAGTGGAGAATTTGATTTTTTCCTAGAAAGAGGGTCGATAGTAGTTGCTTTTGCACCTGAAGACTGGCCTTGAGAAGGCTTGTTAGATTCCGGAGACGTTCCGATGGACCTATTTCGCTACGTCCATACGTAAGGTAACGTATCATGTAGCCGATTTCTCGAAATCGATCAGCTAGTGGAGAATTTGATTTTTTCCTAGAAAGAGGGTCGATAGTAGTTGCTTTTCCACATGAAGACTGGCCTTGAGAAGGTTTGTTAGATTCCGAGACGTTTCGATGGACCTATTTCGCAATACGTCCATACGTAACGTAACGTATCATGTAGCCGATCTCTCGAAATCGAACAGCTAGTGGAGAATTTGATTTTTTCCTAGAGAGAGGGTCGATAGTAGTTGCCTTTCCACATGAAGACTGGCCTTGAGAAGGCTTGTTAGATTCCGAGACGTTTCGATGGACCTATTTCGCAATACGTCCATACGTAACGTAACGTGTCATGTAGCCGATCTCTCGAAATCGAACAGCTAGTGGAGAATTTGATTTTTTCCTAGAGAGAGGGTCGATAGTAGTTGCTTTTCCACATGAAGACTGGCCTTGAGAAGGCGTTAGATTCAGAGACGTTCCGATGGACCTATCTCGCAATGCGTCCATACGTATCGTAACGTATCATGTAGCCGATCTCTCGAAATCGATCAGCTAGTGGAGAATTTGATTTTTTCCTAGAAAGAGGGTCGATAGTAGTTGCTTTTCCACATGAAGACTGGCCTTGAGAAGGCTTGTTAGATTCCGAGACGTTCCGATGGACCTATTTCGCAGTACGTCCATACGTAAGGTAACGTATCATGTAGCGGATTTCTCGAAATCAATCAGCTAGTGGAGAATTTGATTTTTTCCTAGAAAGAGGGTCGATGGTAGTTGCATTTACACATGAAGACTGGCCTTGAGAAGGCTTGTTAGATTCCGAGACGTTTCGATGGACCTATTTCGCAATACGTCCATACGTAACGTAACGTATCATGTAGCCGATTTCTCGAAATCGATCAGCTAGTGGAGAATTTGATTTTTCCTAGAAAGAGGGTCGATAGTAGTTGCTTTTCCACATGAAGACCGGCCTTGAGAAGGCTTGTTAGATTCCGAGACGTTCCGATGGACCTATTTCGCAGTACGTCCATACGTAAGGTAACGTATCATGTAGCCGATTTCTCGAAATCGATCAGCTAGTGGAGAATTTGATTTTTTCCTAGAAAGAGGGTCGATAGTAGTTGCTTTTTGCACCTGAAGATTGGCCTTGAGAAGGCTTGTTAGGTTCCGAGACGTTCCGATGGACCTATTTCGCTATGTCCATACGTAAGGTAACGTATCATGTAGCCGATTTTTCGAAATCGATCAGCTAGTGGAGAATTTGATTTTTTCCTAGAAAGAGGGTCGATAGTAGTTGCTTTTCCACCTGAAGACTGGCCTTGAGAAGGTTTGTTAGATTCCGAGACGTTCCGATGGACCTATTTCGCTATGTCCATACGTAAGGTAACGTATCATGTAGCCGATTTCTCGAAATCGATCAGCTAGTGGAGAATTTGATTTTTCCTAGAAAGAGGGTCGATAGTAGTTGCTTTTGCACCTGAAGACTGGCCTTGAGAAGGTTTGTTAGATTCCGAGACGTTCCGATGGACCTATTTCGCTATGTCCATACGTAAGGTAACGTATCATGTAGCCGATTTTTCGAAATCGATCAGCTAGTGGAGAATTTGATTTTTCCTAGAAAGAGGGTCGATAGTAGTTGCTTTTCCACCTGAAGACTGGCCTTGAGAAGGTTTGTTAGATTCCGAGACGTTCCGATGGACCTATTTCGCTATGTCCATACGTAAGGTAACGT